TTTATTGGTTATAAAAAATAATAAATATGATTTAGTGTGTAGTAAATGACTATTTTAAAATTTAAATGTTTTAAAAAATATTTTTACCTATGTGGACGTTTTAGATGGAGAGAAAAATGTCTAATAGATGTACATTGCATTAGTCATAGAGCTTCCATTGTTTTATAATTTTTTCGGGTCAAGGAACTTTCATTGTTTAAAGTGACAAATCAATGACACTTTTTGACGTAAGTATTTTTGTACCATTACCAATTAACTATAATAATCTAATGGTGGAATTAATTGTCCCTAAGTGTACATCATCCGTTACAAATCCATTTTATGACACAAAAGGTCGTATATATTTAACTTTTAGGGGGTACTTTTGTGCCCTTTTTGTGTTCGGATAAGCACCAGGTCGATATATCGATTACTGACCAAAAAGTGGAGTTTTTTAAAATGTGTTCGATTAATTAAACCACCAATGATCTAGTGCATGCAGTACTTCAATGGAAGTATTAGGTAGCCTAATCTTATTTTCCAAGCATATGTATTTCTCTTTTGATGTGCAAAAGGCCAATTAGTGATATACTACGTGTGAATAATCCTAATCTATAAAATTAATATGAAGACACTTGTTGGAGACATTTCAAGAAATTCGAATGAGACACATAAGAGTAGCGTGCTTGACGTGAAAAGATAAATCTCATAGATTTTTATTGGGAGGGTATATAATGCTTGTAGACGTAGGAAACGAGTCTATAACAATAATTAAATTATGTCATAAGAACAAAAAGAACAAATTAAAATTATCAACTGCCGTACACAAATCAAGAAAACGTTCCACTATAATTTTTTTAAATAATTAAAATGTTAATAGCACTATTCACTACCTTACTTTATGCCACTTAGCCAACTCCAAACGGATTATGCACTTGTCTTTTTCTTTGTTGTATGTCACAAATAGACCTGATTTATGTTAAACAGATACATACAACAAATCAAAATGGCATGTAGACCCATTGAGTCCATTAAACTTCAAACACATCAAGACGGCCCAGATTCATGACACAAAAGATATGGCAATAAAAGGGATATTTTGGTATCAATTACCTTCAAACTCCATAAATCTCTGATCCACCGAATTATTTTCATGCCTGTAAAAAATGTAAAAACATATATGGATGTAACTTATGGGACCTCTGCCTTTATATTTTAATGCTAATG